GAACACAGTCATTAAGAGTGAGGAGGGCGCGCTCGGCATGGCCATTCTGCTGTGATGTGTAGGGGCAAGTGAGCCGGAAGATGGTGTCATGCGATGCAAGGAGATTGCGGACGACGACGTTGTCAAACTCTTTTCCGTTGTTAGTTTGCAAGGCAAGAATAGGATGACCGAATTGTGTGGTGACATATGAATAAAAAGCGGTGAGTGTGGCGAGAGCGCTGGACTTGCGACAGAGAGGGAACGTCCACACATAATGGGAGAAATCATCCAATATCACCAAATAGTATAAATAACCCGTGTTGCTCGTAACGGGACGTCCAGACATCACTATGCAATAACTGAAACGAAAAAGTAGAAATGTGTGTAGACTCGCTAAAGGGAGACGAACATGCTTGCCAAGACGGCAGGCCTCACAGGAGTGGTCGTCAACCTTATTACATGAGAATGAAAAACTCTGAAGAATCTGATGCAAAACTGTGGAGTTGGGGTGACCGAGGCGGGCGTGCCAGAGATCAACACTAGCGGCGAGGGCGACATGACGGGTGGTGGTGGCGCCAGAAGGATGCACCTGGTAAAGCTCGTCCGGGCTATCACATCGGTGGAGTACCATCCGTATACGGGCGTCCTTCACAGAAAAGCCAATATCGTCAAATTCAACAGTGATAGGATTCTCACGAGCAAGGCGATGAACAAATACAAGATTGGTAACTAGTTAAGGGGAAACAAGAACATTAGACATGTTAATGGGAGTAGAATTAGAAGGAAACAACATATGACCGACATGTGCAATGGGTAGGGAGGAACCGTTACCAACGGTGATGCGAGTCAGAGTATGAACGGGAGTGGAAGACGTGAGGTTACCGGGATGATCAGTCATGTGAGCGGTGGCGCCCGAGTCCATGTACCAGTCACCTCCGTCACCGTAGATACTTGGTGACGGAGCCGAGCGCAGAGCAGCGAGGAGGGTCGGATCCCACGATAGCGGCACCTAGGGAGGGAGAAACCCTCCGTAGGCTGGCAAGGCGCCGTAGGCAGGTGCGAGCGCGGGCGCGGCACTGTAGCTGATGTAGGGGACGGTGTTCTGCATGGTGAAGAGCGCCTGGTGGCTCACCGGACGAGGCCCGAGGATGCCCGGAGCAGGAGCCCGCGAGACCGGCATCGAGTACACATGTACGATGCCTGCTGTTGCTGCTGACGAGGGGCCCTCCCTTGCGCATGTTTGCGACCGCCCCGCGGCGGTTGCCACGGCGCCCGCCACCCTGCTGCGGCTGCTGGGGGCAGCCG